AGAGTAAACGTGTGTTCGCTTTTTTCACCGCACTTTCGTTTTAAGATGCCCTGTTCGTAGCTCAGTGTGGTAATCGGGATTATTTCATTTATCTCACGTGTCACCGTGTCTTCATACACTCGCAGTAAAAATAAAAGCATTCTCCTTAAGAAGAAATGGAAAGTCTATGTCAAAGTTAGAGACGAAACAGTCGCCGAGTCCACACTGGAGAAAATCAATGCGCGAATCTCGCGGAGAGGGTCTGTGCCTCCCCCGTCTGGCAAAGGCGGCTGGCTGTTTTCTGTCGGTTTGCCGGCTTTTATTTTTAAGATGCCCTGCATTTATTACGGGAGCCAGAGAACCAAGAGCCAAAAGCCAATACTAATGTTTTAATTCTATCCAGTATGTTTCAATGCTCATTTTGCATTTTGCATTAGGAACCCGGCCTCAGTCGATACCTCCCAGCACCAGTGCCGCAGTCTGGCACAGGGGTTTCACCTAAGCTGACAAATGCCTGCGCTTCACAGCACGAGGATAAATGGGGTCGGGGAAGGGACCCTGCTCACCGCTGTTTCCCTCTGCAAAGAGCAAATACATTGTCTAGTCACCGCATGTTTATAGAAAGAGACAGACCACCATACACATGACTCCTAATGTGAGTGCCTTTTGAGGGAGCCACCTTTCTTGCTCCAAAATTATGAATATCCAGAAATAATCGCCCACAAGAAGACAAGTTGCTATATCCCAGTGTCAGAGCCAAGCCAAGTAGACCTGAAGTCTACTGGCTCCCCATCTCCATCCGTCCTCAACTCCCCTTCTCGGGGCTAGCGGTGCCTCTCCCCACTCTGTGGAGAGGAACGGCAGTGTGGGCAACTTGCTTGATCCTGAAAGGTAAACATGTTACAAATTTTAAAAATTTAAAACAAGTGTATCTCTGCTTCCAGCTCAAATGGTTGTTTTTGGTCACTTCCTTCAACCCACAAATGCCCATTATCTTAACCTTTATTTTTTTCTGCATTGTAAATCGAAAGGTTTTAACTGGAAAAAAGAAGAGGGGAGTGGTAACAAACGCTGATGTGAAGGGTCACAGTGAAAGGTTTTCCAAATTCAAAGTCCAACAACTTCAAAAAAGAAAATTCCACAATGAAAATTATACACAATGCATAGAGCATATGTGTGTGTCCACGCGTGTATAAAACAGATGGGCTTCCTAAATTCTTTCCATTCTAATAAAACTTCCAAAATAAAATCAGAGTATATGCCTTGATCTCTAAAAAGCAGTGTTTAATGAGCTTTTTCAAGACCTGTCCTCTGCTTCCTGCTTCGGTCACACAGCATCAGGACGGCTCCCACTAATCCTTCTGGAAGAGTTAATAATGCGGCCCAAGAGCTGACAGTTGTATAAAAGAAAATTCTTTCTTAGATCTGTCCCTCAATTGCAGTAACAGGAGCATCCTGGTTTACCTCTTTCACAAACAGTGTAGCAACATCTGTGACTCAGACAGGAGAGGCAATGGAAAGAAAAATACCCTAAAACAGGCTAAATGTCCCCAGACCTGACTGTCAGCCCTTTCTAGCCAGCAGGTGCACGGACCCCTATTCTTGCCCCACTTCACCAATTATGTATAAACAAATTAACTTCCTGGGCCGGTTCCCTCTGAATTACTCCTTGGTCTCCAAGTGGTTTTCCATCAGGACGAACCTTTTCTTTTGCCTTATGCACCAGCAAACATACTGATACAATTTAAAGGTCATGTTCTTTTCAAACTGACAGAGCCCTCCAAAGTTTTGACGAGGGGCCCTCCAAGCCTCACACCCTACAGGCGGAAAGGAATTAAGTAAAGCAGCCCTAGCTGGAAGCTCAATCATGTGAGCTGATTAGAAAATGCATCCGCAGAGAGGGGGGCCTTGGCAAGGTGACGGCAGCTCATCTCGAAGGAGATGTCACACCGCCAGGCAGAGAGCCCCCGACGCCGGGGTGGGGGGACTACTCGAGGGTCAATGAAGATATAATTACCTTCCCCTGAGAAGCCTCTTCTTTTCCAAATCCCCAATGAATGCCGCTTAATTAGCCTCACCTTTTTATTCACGGACAGTCAAACTTTACCCCAAACCCCAAGACTGAATTCACAGGGAGTCATCTCTTATACTCCAAAGGACATTTACTTGATAACTGAAGAACCGCTGAGCACATGGATTCTGCATAAATGCGCATTGCACGGAGACACTGATATGTTTATTTGCAGTTGTGTTTGTGTTATCAGGGGATAGGCAGTTCATTTTTTTTTCCCTTTTTTATCTGTCTCTGTGACAAAAAGGGAATGATTGAAACAGCACTGAGCTGTCAATCACGCCAGCAGATGCGCTCTGGGAATCTGATTAAGGCCCTGAATCTTCTTCTGTTATTATTATTGTTTGTTGTTGTTATTGTTTGACTTTTTTGCTTTACTTTGTTCTTCGATCCAAACCCACTAAGGTTCTCTGAGATGTGACAGTGCTTGAGGGACAGTGTGAGAGGTTCCTAGTGCTCTCTGGCTAGTGTTGTGTCCCCATGACAATGTCATCTGTCCCAGGGAAGGGGGACGACCCCCAGCTGCAGCCTCCCGGCCACGGCCCTTCCTCCTGGCCTCTCCCTCCTGCCCACCCCTTCTGATTCATCTAAGGGTCTCTCTCTTCAAAAGGGGCTGACTCTCTGGGCCTTCAGAACTCATCTTTAGGGAAAAAAATTGTCCCACCTCCAAACACTTATCCACCAAGAACTGCCACGAATTTGGCTTAAAAGAAAATTGTTTTGTTGTGATTGCACACACATCCTCAAAGGCAGCCCAGAGCTTGTTAAATTTTTATTGGAATGCCTTTCTTTTGAAGCTTCTCTCCTAGTTTAATTGACTGCTGAGCATAAGTCCACAGCCTCAGTTGCCCCCGTCATGGAAGGCTGGGGCTGTCATCCTGGAATTCAGTCATCAAATAGATTTTCCCTGTCACTCTTCTTCCCTTGACTTCACATTACATGTCTCTCCAAAATAAAGTGTCCTCTTCCCTCTCTCTGCCACAGACACAAGCTGCCCTAACCCTTGACCATTTCCTCCAGCCAATCACACCCCTCTTTTCAGACCTGCCTTCCCAGTCTCCTTCTTGATGATGCCCCAGTGGCTGGTATGTACCATAATTATGCATCAGCCCTGCCGCACACAGAGAGGACTTCCTGGAGCAGGTGGTCATTGAATTCAGATTCAGGATTAAGGCATATACAGCATTGCAGTCATCCTGGGAAGCTTATTCAGAAATCAATTAAAAAAAAAAAAGCACTGAAGTTCTTATGAAGACCACACACTTGGTGTTCTCAAAACTTGACACTCACAATATTTCCTATCATACCTTTGCAAGTCTTATGGGGCGGGGGATGGGGGAGAGAGTGGCCTGTTTAATGTGAATCAAATAGTCAGTCAACAACTACTGATCAACCTGTATTGCCGCACACTCCGGCTATTGGCTGGAGATACTACCCAGAGTACCCTGCTCTCAAGGTACTCTCAGTGTGATCAAGAGACATTAGCCATGTGGTTATTCTGGAAGCACTGCAGGTTAACAGAAACTGATAAGGAGCACATGAGGTTGGAGAGCAAGGGTGACAAAGATTTGGGCCCCCATATTTTCATCTGATCTTTTTTCCTAAATGACCCATGTCTGATTGCCCCAGCAGTAACTGACTCTGCTGAACACTGAGAAATACACGAGGGCCAGCACAATCCGATCTTATCTGCTCCCCCCCCTTGAAGAAGGGCTTTACCTTAAAGTGGACGAAGATGTTGCCCGGAGTGGACTCCACGTGCCTGCTAAATCCATCTTCCTCCATTTCTAGAGGGAGCTTCAGAATGCACGGCTGCTCACAATTGCAGAAAGGGAATGAATCCAAGCCTTTGAAATAGCTCGGGGCTCTTTCCCTCATTTAAAACTTTTGTTCCTGGAAGAAGTTTAAGGAGGTCTTATAAATGTTTTAAATGCGTCCTTCAAAGGCGAAGCCTGCTCCCTCCTCTGGGGAGTTGACCCTTCTGTTCTCTCTGTGGACGTCAGGCTGGTGCTTCATTCTGCCCATGGGTAACGCCAGGCTGATTAC